TGAGGGCTTGGCACTCACATATGGGGATGCCCCAGCCCTGAACATCCCTAGGCAACTTGCTTGCCTCCCACTGCCGCAGTCTGGCTGGGCACAAATCACAAGCCACTGAAGCAGGAACAAACTTTATTTCTGAACTCCACCAGCACACTCCACRCACACTCCTGGGAACTCCCCCGAACGGGCTCCTCCAGGAACCAGCAACTGGAAATATCCCTCCTCCGGCACTTCCCCAACCAATGGGAACTCTCCGGGAATCCCTGAGAGAGCTGAAGCGGAACTCAACGGGAACTCCGCCAGAACTCAAAAGTCATCATCTTAATGGCTCGCTAGCGTCACCTCTCAACCACTACTTCTGGCAAAAATGCCATGCTTCATCCTGACTCGGCTGTGGCCCTCAACATCCCACCACTCATGGCCTGTGATTGCTCACACGGGAAGCCTGATGTATCTCACCAAGGCAGACCAAGTGAAGAGACCCACTTATCCCAGGAAGCAGGCTCAGGATGGTTGGGCAGGGAATTCCAGGGTCCTGAAATTTGAAGATTTGGGGAATGGGGTAGTCAAGGCTCCCAGACCCGGCAGATTTCTTGCTCAGAGGTAGGGGCATGGTGAAGAAGGCCAGCTGGGGCCTCTGAAGCTTGGGTTTCAGGGCTAAGGCCCTACCAGACAGGCCGGCCACAAGTAAAGCAAGTACTGGTGTGGGACTAACAAAAAATGATAGGATTCCCAGAGTTTAGAATCCTTTATCCCAAATATATGGAACTTACACATTTATGTTTATAATCCTTTAAGGTCTGTAGGCTTTGATACTACAAGTTGAAATTCCTAATTTCAACCCTTCTCTATCATTGAGCTATGTCCCCAGACCATTTTAGTTTTTAAGGCAGAGTCTTACTAAGTTGCCCAGTCTGGCCTCCTACCTCAGCCTTTCAAGTAGCTAAGATTACAGGCATGCACACAGCTGGCTCACAAAAGCTTTTTTAAATAAAAAACCAGATATGTCCCAGGTGGAACAGTGGGTGATAAACATGTTATGTATGTTAGGAGTGTCCCACGTTCATAAGACTTTAGTGTGCATTGAGCTGTTTCTGAAGAAGGAAACATTCCCAGGCTTCTCCAGGCCTCAAGTCACATAAAATAGGTTTTTAAATTCTGTCTCCTAAGAATCAGATATGAAAGCTTATGGGATTTTTAGATTATAGGACTTGAAGCAAGGAAATTCCTTCCTCGGTTTGCTCTGGGTAGTTTTTTGTTTGTTTTACCAGGGATTGTACCCTGAGGTGTTTTACCACTGCACTACATCCCCAACTCTTAGGGCCTTGCTAAATTCTGAGGCTGGCCTCAAACTTGCAATCCTCCTGTCTCAGGTGCTGGAATTTCAGGCATGTACCAGGCAGCCTGGGAATCCCTGTAGTATATTATTAATAAATAAGCATTACAACCAATCTTCACAAAAGCTATATCTAAGAGGGATCCCTCCCTTTGCAAAGAGCTATCTGAGGATATACAAGACACACAGAGGCCTGTATTCACGTAAAATGTGTTCATTTGTCGTTGGCCAAACAAGGAGCCCATTACCAGGACTTGAGGGACAGCAGCTGAACAAGTCATCAAAGCAGGCTATGGGTGTTTGCTCAACCCAAAACCAAGGAGACTAATAGCACTCAACGACTATCAATGGCTGTTTTACAGAACAGGAAAGACCCCAGCAAATTAAGTGACCTTAGGGAGACTATCTTTTAAAGTTACAAGTGATAACTAGAAGAGTTGTATTCTATTTTCATAATTGGCCCCTAAATTATTTTTTTGGGGGGCAGGGCTGAGGATTGAACCTAGATCCTTGAACATGCTAAGCAGTGTTCTACCAGTTTCCCCAGCTCATCTATTGAAGACTATCTCTTCCCCCACTGAGTGGTTTTGCACCATTGTCAAATACCATTTGATTACACATGTGAGATTTATTTCTGAGCTCCTTAATTCCCCCAACATTTTATTTTGAAATGCCTTCAACCTGAAAATAAACGGAAATAGTACATGAATACTTACATACCCTTCACGTAGATCCGGGCATTATGAACATTTTGCCACATTTGCTTTCTCACTAGCTCTCAATTTAAACTTTTTTTGAACAATTTTTAAATTAAATTCCTGATGTCATGACACTTTATCCCTTCAGCATTTATATTAACAGTTCTCTTAGAGCCATGCAACCATTATTGGTACCCAAGATTTATTTCTTAAATGATTCAGATTCAACTCCCCAATTTCCCAAAAAAGGTCTTTTTGTAGATTTTTTTGATTTTCACTCCAAGCCAATCAAGATGGCTTGGTGGCTCTTCAGAAGCTAAACATAGAATTACATGACCCAGAAATTCTGTCTAGATATATTCCTAAAATAATTAAAAGTAGAAACTCCAATGGGTACTTGTATGCCAGTGTTCATTTCAAAAGAAAAATGTAGAAAAAGGTAGAAACAACCCAAGATAAACACAATGGATAAACACAATGTGGTATATGCATACAATGGAATACTACTTAGTCTTAAAAAGGAATGAGATTTTGGATGCACTTTGAAAATTATACTAAGCACTCCAAAAACAAAAATACAAATAAATTTCACTTACATAAACTATAGAGAATAGGCTAATTCTCAGAGACAGTAATAGAACAGATATGTTTTGAATTATATACCTAAAAATGATAAAATGAAGAGTTTCAGTTGGGATGGTGAAAAGTCCTGAAGATGGGCGGTGAGGACAGATGCACAACAATGTGTTTAATTTTATACACCATGATTTTAAAAAATTATCGAAAAAAAAAATCATACCCCTCTAGCGGGGGGGAAAAAAAGTTGTCAGCCTATCCCAAGCATTCTCAGCAGCACTAATAACATTTTGGGCTGGATAATTCCTTATTGTGTGGGACTGTCCTGTGCATTTTGGGATGTTTAGCAGTATCCCTGGCCTTGAGTTGATCACAGAAGGATCTCCCTGGTACCTCCAGAAATTATTCAATGTTCCCTGGCAAAAGGGGCCACAAACGGCTGGGGATATAGCTCAGTTGGTAGAGTGCTTGCCTCATATGCACAAGGCCCTAGGTTTGATCCCCAGCACCAAAAAAAAAAAAAAAAGGGGGGGGGCACAATTTTCCTCAGTGGAAACCACTGGCCTATGCTAACGTTGCTGACTAGGTGAGCATCGCTTGAAACTGCTTTTGTTCCCTAGCTAGAGGTTCACTGAGTCTCCCATTGACCTTGGATTTTTTTTTGGTGGGGGGAAGTGCATTGGTACAGGGGTTGCTGGGGATTGAACTCCAGGGCACTAGACCACTGAAACACACCCACAGCCCTATTTTGTATTTTATTGGTGTCTGAGTGGCTTAGTGCCTTGCTTTTGCTGAGGCTGGCTTTGAACTCGAGATCTTCCTTCCTCAGCCTGGGATTACAGACGTGTACCACTGTGACCAGCTCCCATTTGACCTTGGAATTTTATTGGTTTCACCACATGAATGGATAGTCTTTGAGCAGAGTTACATTTTGAATATAGTTATTCTACTTTCGACAGAAAAGGGGAAACTAAAAATTCTGGAGAGGTCATTTCACCCTGAGGCTTCTTTCTGCACATCTTAAATGAATTCATCCTTTCCATCTTCCTTTTGCCTTGCTTAGAATTTCAGTGGAAACAAATCAAACAAGTTTGACAATGATTTAACAAAATTCTTTAATAAAATTTATAAAAAATGCTTCCTTAAGAATAAATTTCTCAGCTTGAATTGTTTTCTTCTTCCACTCCCAAAGAAAATTCAAAATTATCAGCACCCACACACATTTACACTCAAAACTTAGAGAATGTCTCTATACCTACATCAGATAGTTTAAAATGCAAAAATCAAGACAATTCCAACAACTGATTGCAGACATAATTTTTTTCCTTCCCAAAACAGTTGACAGTAAAGCAATTTCAATGCAACTCTTCTGTAGTTGCCCAAAAAATTTGCATTTTGAATTAAAAAAAAAAGAAATTCAAATCAAAGTAATTTTCTTCCCCTTACTTAACATACATTAGGGCAGTGTTTACTTCCTGCTTCTAAGAAAATATAATGGGATTTCTAATATCTACAGTTTTCTGTGTGCAGTTAGAATCAGGCAACTATGTCCAGATCAGCCAGTGTTTTCTGTAGACCCATTAAAAGCAGGCACTTGGGGATTCTGGGCTTTGGGTACAAACCATGGTATAAAGATCCTGGGTAGGAAACATATGCTGAGATTCCTCCATTCTGCCAGAATTTTGAGGGATAGAGATCAAACCACTTCAATGGTCCTCAGCATGTTTGCTAAAAGGCCAGGCTCGGTGACAAGGTCTCTTTGCCATCTCCAAGTCCATTTCTCATACTTACTTTCTGGCTTTGGCTGCAGCACTATAGGCACTATTCTACATCCTAGAACACATTGCTCTTTTGTGTCAGTGATAAATAGACATTAAACATTAAGTGGCACCTGAAAATTCACCACACTTTCTGGTCCAGGTTCCCATACAGAATCAAACCACCCCCCAATGACATTTGCATAGCAAACCCGGACTAAGAACAAGTAAATGCATAGATGCCCATTTCAAGTCAGTACTCAGGAGATGAAGAATCCCTGTCCCCCGCAGAGCAACAGAATTCAAGATTAAGGGTGGAGGCTAGAACACAGGACATACCAGTGCGCTGATGGGGGGAAAGCACACAATTAAAAAAAAAACTTTTTATATATATATATGTACATACACACACACACACACACACACAAAAAAAAAAAAAAAAAAAAAAAACAGCTAGGACAATTGCTCTTCCCCTTCCTTTTAAACATAAGCAATGCCCCCTAGGGAAATCTACATGTGGCTAGGAGAACCTTCCCGAGACTGAAGTTTGTTCTTTTGAAATATTAAAATTCGGGGAACTTTGGGACTTCATCACTCTGAAAAGAGTGATTAAAGAAAAAAAAATTCAAGCACTATGTCAAAACCTTTCTAACAGACACAGATTAGAACTACAAAGTGGAAACAACTATCTTTACTGCATCTCAGATCAGTCTCTCTCCAGGAACTCACATCTGGGGAAGGTAGCTAAAAACCCCAGCAACATGGCTCCTCATTTCCCATCACTCGGGCCAAAGGTACCCTCTCCAGAGTGCCCTAGTCATCCTCGCCACCCCCGTACATGTCTGCCAGTTTCTTGAAGCGATTGCCCCATTCGTTCAGGTAGTCATAGTCCTGGTCCTGGTCCGATTCCGAGGAATTAAGTGAGCTGAGACTGGCAGCTTCAGAGCCGCTTCCTTCATAGTCGAACACCAGCAGAGAATCATAAGGGGGCGCTGTGGGGTCACTGTCAGCCGCCTTCAGGTTCTAAAGGAGAGAGACAAGGAGGTCTTTCAGTAAAAGAAACACACACTCCTGGGCACGCATTGGAGGCTAGATACCTCCTTATGGTGTTTCAGGTGACACATGCAGTGGTGCAYACCTGTATTTCCAGTGATTTGGGAGGCTGAGGCAAGAGGATGGCAGGTTCAAGGCCAGCCTCAGCAACTTGGAGAGACTCGGTCTCAAAATAAAAAGTAAAAAGGGTTGGGGATTGTAGCTCAATGGTAAATCACTCCTGGGCTTAATCTCCAGTACAAATAAAAGATTGTGGTGGTGGTAGGGGGGTCCTATTCCCCAAGAATCCAGTGGCTTGAATGGATACAACTTGGCTGCCCACCTTAATGCATTGTTTTGTACAGTCCTCAGTGTTAGTGACTCCCACAGCAGACTAAGTAAAACCAGTCTCAGCCTCCAAGGGCCACTAGACTATCAGGCTAGCCCTGAAAAAACTAACTGAGCAAATGATTACATGAAATAGCTTAAGAAAAGGAAATAGTCTTTGTTAGACTGTTCCCTTACTGGGTTCTTTAGTCTCCTCACTCCCAGTTCTTCCTCATTTTATCCTGAGCTAATGAATTTAATGCCTTATTATTCTCCCCTGCAGGCAGGAACCATCTGTGCCAGTTCTAGCCAATAACATTTTGGGCAAATTCCTTTCTTGAATATGGTGGACCAGAAGAAACATTTTTGTCATCTGTGCTGCCTCTCTTACTTCTTCCTGACTGAACAATAGACTTGAGGCCTGGCAGTAAAAGCCATCCTGTGATCACAAGGCATCAACCAGGAGATCAAGCATTTCTGCATACTAAGAGCATGCAACAGAAGAGTGGGACAGCCCCACGCACTATCTGGGACAGCGTACCCCAGCCTTCTATTTACACAAGGTAAATCCACTCCTATCTGTTTAAGCTTCTCAATCTATAAACASAATGAATTTCTGACACATACAATACGGATTTTATTTTTCTGGCTGTAAGTAGACTACGATGCACATTTAACATTACGTCCCAACCAGTGGTGAGATACAGGGGATCCCATCCATGAAAACAAACTCAACTTACTTTGCATCCTTTAATTTCATTTCTAGATCTACTAAATCCTTTCAAGCAATTCTTGGTTTTGTCCTGTAGACTTTACCAAATTCCCTAAGACTAATTCAAAGTGCTGTCAATTCTAAAGTTCATAGAAGAYACAAAAACAAGAGGGCTCAGGGATTAGGCAGGCTAAAAGCATGATAAAGGGATGAAGTTAAAAATCCTTTGTCTCATTTTTATTATTTTGCTCTCCTCTCTTTACTCTGGAGTTTAGAGGTATGTTGTGCTTTGATATTCAACTTTGCTTACTTACTTCATCAATAAAATTTCCAATTTCATCAGGATTGGCAGGGCGGGGACGGTACTGGGGCACACTCAGGAGGGTTGGTGCTACATCATTACGAGTCACTTCTGGCCGAGCATCTAGGCCTCTGTGCAACTGGCTCAAGTCAAAGTCCTTRGAGAAAAAGATAAAGGTATGACAAAAAGAAACAGCCACATACATAAAGCCATGTTCGTGTTATGCCTTAACTACCAACTGTATGATACCTASCAGCATATGCCCAGTTTAATATAAAATGACAGTTTTCAAATTAAGAGTCTCCCAACTAGCACTGAAAGAAAACAGCTTGAACAAGTAACAATTGAGATGAATATAAACTGTTACATCTTACTTGCTTTCCATAGAATAACATGATTAGATTATTATTCAGCAAACATTTACTCCCTCCCCACCAAAGCCTTTAGGAGTACACATCCATTCATATTGGCCTTTGTCACGTGACTTGTTTTCAGCAAGGTGACAACAGGCAAAAGCTTGAAAGGCACTAGCCTGCTGTACAAAGGAGGAACAGACCTGGACACAACTTGAGGCTTAGAGTCATTCATCTAAAAATCTGCCAAGGTCAGTGAGCTGCAGCCAACCTTCAGATTCTTGTGAACCCCGCTGAGATTAGCAACTGCCCCAGCTAACCCAYAAATGCCTGAGAAAGGTATGCTTACTGATGTGTGCCGCTGAAATCCTGGGGTTGTGTACTATATGGTGGTGCTATGATAAGTTCACTGAAACAGTGTACCCTCCAATTAGACTTAAAAACGCCTTGAAATCTGGAACATGGAGTAGGACAAGACAAGTCCATTTGCAAACTCAGGAAAAAACAGAGAGGGCCTCAAGAATTAATATCTCAGGCTGGGGATGTAGCTCACTGATAGAGCACTTGCTTCATATATGCAAGGAATGGGGCTCGATCCCCAATCCCACACTCAGATACACATTCGAGGTGTGGTGGCACACACCTGTAATTCCAGTGACTTGGGAGGCCAAGCCAGGAAGATTGCAAGTTAGAAGCCAGCCTCCACAATTTAGCAATTTAGTTGAGACCCTATCTCAAAATTTAAAAAAAAATCAAAAAGGTATAGCTCAGGACTAACACTATCGAGTTCAAGCCCCAGTACTGTGGAGGAAAAAAAAAAAAAAAAAAAAGACTTAACTTCTAAAAAAGCAAAAACAGTTTGGCCTAACTAAAAACTCAAGAGAAACCAAATATTAAAATAGGTTGCTATTCTACAATAATTTCTACAAATTATCTCCAAAGACAACTTAATTGAAGTTCATGTCCTGACAATACAAAGAGTGTAGGCTCTGAAGCCAGACTAAGTGTATGACCTTGGGCAAGCCATACAACTGCTCTCTACCTCAGTTCTCCCATCTGGGTACAGTACAGTAAGCAATGAATAAATGTTAGTTATGCTGGTAAGGATGATAATGATGATACCTAATGACAATGTGCATTTTAGGGGGTTTTTCCTTAAGAATAATACACAGAGTGGCACAGCTATTTCAATGTCTGCCTTATCAGATAGACACCGAGCTTTTATGTTTCAAAAACCCACCTGGTCTTCTTCTCCACCTCCTTCTTCATCATAGTAATAAACGTTGTCCCGGGTGTCATCTTCTGGTGGCAGTAAGGGCTCTTTGACCACCCCTCTCCTCCGAACAAACAGCAGAAGCAGCAGAAGCAGGACTGGAGGGGGAGAGGGAGAGAGTGATGCAAACTACGGGCAAGGAAAGCCAGAAGCCGCCATCACAGAGTACCCACAACTTACATTCCAGACCAGAGGCAGGCAGACAGCAGCCTCTGGCCACCTTTAACACACATGCAGTCAACCCACATGAATGACACTCATGTCCTTGAATTTAATAAATGTGATACAACATAGCTAACTATGATGCTTGAATTCCAGTGTGTTCTTTAAGTTTCAGATGGATCTTTAAACCAATCAAGGTCATTTCCCCCAGATTCTGGGGCAAAGTGTTCCAGGCAGAGGAAATGGTAGGGGCAAAGACCCTGAGCCAGGTGTGTGCTTGGTGTGATTGAGGAAGGGGGAAGAGGCCAATGTGGCTGAAGTGGAAAAGAGGCTAGGGATGGGAGGGACCACTACAAGGCTATGGCTTTGATTTTGAATGAGTTGGAGCCATTCAAGGTTTGTGAGCAGGGGTTCTGGGAGAGTCTAAATGTGACTGGTGCATGCCTGTGATTGTTAATCTGTTACAGCAACAGATGAGATTAGCAACTGTTACAGACTACAGAATCACCTGACATGTTCTTAATCTTAAAACGAAGATCATGAATGGAGGGAGGAAACGGGGACAGCACAGGAAAGAYAGTGGAATGAATCTATTTTAACTTTTCTAYGTATGAATATAAATACACCACAGTGAATCTCTTCATCATGTACAACCACAAGACTAGGATCCCAATTAGAAYAAGATGTACTCCATGTTTGTATAAATTTCAAAATATACTCTACTGTCATGTATAACTAAAAAGAAMATTAAAAAAAAAGACTGTATAAGCAAGCTAGCTCAAGCTTTAAATTATATTTCCAAAGTTTTCACTTGATTTTGAGATTATAATTTGAATACATACATCACTTTAAAAAATAATTTGTGAATGAGGAGGGAAAAGGATTCTGTGTTTTCATTATTTATTTTTGCTTTAATTATTTTTTGTTTTCGTGTGTGTTATAAGTACAAGTGCCCAAGCACTTAGACACTGTATTTTGGAGAAGCATTATCTCATTGAAACAGGAGGTTTCCATAAACTTGGGAAAGATTCCTTATATGCACTCTGCCTATTGTTTCTGAGCCAGGATGGTAGAGGTCTTATCCAGATAAACAATGTAATTCTCTAGTTCAGGATTCATGGATGAAAATACTGAGTATTCGCCAATTGCCTGTCTATGCACTAGGGATGTGGCATGAATGAGACACTGCAGGCTGCAAACAGTTCCTAACCATGCAGAATCTTATGGTTGGTTTCCCAAAGGATACTTTATATTGATATTAGTATGCATGGTTCTGGCATAATGATTTTTTGTTGTTGTTCTTTATAGATAGACATGACAGTAGAGTGCATTTTGATATCATACATACATGGAGCATAACTTATTCTAATTAGGATCCCATTCTTGTGGTTGTACATGACACGGAGTTCCACTGGTGGTATATTCATATATGAACATAAGAAAGTTATGTCCAATTCATTCTACTGTCTTTCTCAAGGGATGTTTCTTTTTTTTTTTTTTAATATTTATTTATTTATTTTTTAGTTTTTGGCGGACACAACATCTTTGTTTGTATGTGGTGCTGAGGATCGAACCCGGGCCGCACGCATGCCAGGCGAGCGCGCTACCGCTTGAGCCACATCCCCAGCCCCAAGGGATGTTTCTTATTACCAAAAACCCAGTGCCCCCAGTGTCTGACAAAGCCTGGTGCCGAATAAGCGGTTAAATATTGGTGAAATGCAAGAAAAGCTTCATGTGTTTGTGTCCCACCTGTATTCACTGAGGCTTGGAAAGCACTGAGAGAGGAAAAGAAAAAAAACAGACGAACTCTGAGTCCCCCTTTGACTTCGTGAATGGTATGTCTTCCACTCCTGGACACTTACCTCTGAAATGTTCAGTAAAAGACAAACTTCTACTTTATTTAAACCACTCTACTTGAGAGTCTCTTTCATCTTCTAACTAGCACCTTAATTAAAAGTTCTTTCCAGGAAATAAACCTTCCCCACTTGAGGAGCCAAAGGCTTAAACACATTGCCAGCTGCACTTACTTAGGAAAGCAAGGATCCCGCCAAGAATCCCTAGAATAGCAGGAACTTCCAGTGTCGCTTCTGCAAATTTTGGCTTTATACAGTTGTTGACAGTTCCCTCACAGTCACATACATGGACGTCCAAGGTGGTCACCTGGTCTTTGTTCTGATTATCCATGAGCTTGAGATTGATTTTGTATTCACCCAACTCTAAGGGTTTCTTTGGCTTCAAAATGAGAGACTCTTGAGCTGAGGAAAGCAAAACAAATTAATGGGACCAGGAGAAGAAAAATAAAGAGATAGATAAATAAAGACTGGGAGGGAACTAAAGATGCTCCAAAGCTGAATAAAGAAAATGGAGCTGCTTGGGGTTTTGGTTACAAGGCAGTATGTCACAAGGCAAAATGTGAGGAAATGAAGGAGACCTTTGAGATGATGCCATAAGTGTAGAAGACACAAGAAGCAAATAACAAAGGAAAGGGCTGGCAAGTACAGTGGGAAGGGAAATTGAGCAGCAGGCAGGGAAAAGGAAAGGAGAAACACAGCAGGGAGAAGCAGAGTGGAGAAATCAAGTTCAAGTTCCCACCTGGATCACTGTACTCAATGGTCCAATTCACACTCGCCCCATGTGTCAGTTCTGCTGTGAAGGGTGAAGTGTTGGGGGGAAGATCTGAGTCTATGATGTTTATGACCTGAGGCTGTGGATTCTTCTGGCAGAAGTAGACATTTCGAGATTCTGGTATGGGAGCATTATCATTTATGTCGGAGAGGATCAAGAGAAGGGTTCCTGTTCCAGTGGCAATCGGAGAACCTAAGAGAAAACACAAAGAAAATGTCCCCACTCAGGAATATTAATGAAGCCTGGAACAGTGGTGCATGCCTATAATTCCAGCAACTCAGGAGGCTGAAACAAATAGATTGCAAGTTTGAGGCCAGCCTCAGCAGATTAGCAAAGCTGTAAGCAACTTAGCCAGACCTTGTCTCAAAACTGAAAATATAAAGGGCTGTGGATTTGGATCAGTGGTTGAATGCCCCTGGGTTCAATCTCTTGACACCAAAAATAAATAAATAAACTTTACAAAAAAACCTTTTTAATTAGCTAGTAGATTTTATGGGATAAACTTCATTCTCCTTTTAGRCTGTATGTTAAAAGCAAGGCAAAGGCTGGGGATGGAGCTTAGTGGTAAAGTGCTTGCCTAGCAAATGTGAAGCCCTGGGTCCCACATTCAGCACTGAGGGGAAAGACAATTCATGCAATAAAGCAACACTTAATTCCGTTTATGTGTAATGGGACAAAATTCATTTTACTGTCATGTATATCTAATTAGAACAACAACAACAACAAAAGCAAACTTACAGGAACCACTTAGAACCCCCCTTGGTTATGATTATTTAGGTCAGGGTCAGCAAGCTAAGGTCTTCTGGTCAAATTAGGAACACAGTTATGCTCATCCCTTTATGGATTTTCTATGGCTGGCTGCAGGCTCCAATGGCAATAGAGAGTGGACAGTTTTGTAAAGCCTAATATTTTTACTCCCTGGTCCTTTACAGAATAAGTCTGCCCACCCTTGGTTCCGGTACCATTTACCTTAACTTACTTCCAGGCCAGGCTGGGGAACCCCCAAGGAGCCAGAGTGTACTGCAGCTGAAGCAATGGGCAGCTCTCTGCCCTGCAAATGGAGCCTCATGATGGCCTCACTTGCCTGGCCCTCTCTCTCCTTTCCACATGATCAAACCTAGATTACTTCCTTAACAGGTTAGCAGGTGACAGAGTGGGAAGAAAATCAACCCTGAGAAGTTTGTAGATCTCTTAACAAGTAATTCTGCCTTGAAACATCTGTCTGAGGAGCATGCCTGTGAACAGAGGCATTAAATTAAGTATGTCCACTCACTAATCATGGAAATAATAATTGTAAACACCTATGTCCTTTGATGTGTGAATGATCAAATTATACTACATTCAGATAACTCTTTCTCTCTTTTTCTGGTGGTAATGGAGACTGGACCCATGGCTTCATGCATCCTAAGCAAGTATCTTACCTCTGAGCTATACTCCCAGACCCAGAAAACATCATTCTTAAAAAGAGATATATCTAGCATACGCCACGGCAGATCTCTCTATCTTTTTGTAGGGTGGGGCAGGGGGGATGTTGTGGCAAGGGGAGTTTGAACCCAGGGGCACTTAACCACGGAGCCACATCCCCAGCCCTTTTCATTTTGAGACAGGGTCTTGCTTTGTCACTAAGTTGCTGAGGCTGGCTTTGAACTTATGATCCTCCTGCCTCAGTCTCTAGAGTTGCCTGGTTTACAGGCATACGCCACCAGGCCTGGCAAATCTTTATCCTAAAGACACACTGCCAAATTAAATAAATATTTATTTGTTTGTTTGTGCTAGAGTTTGAACCCTTGGCCTCATACATGCTACACTAGTGCTCTATTGCTCAGCTATATACGAAGTCCCCACATTTAAATTTTAAACAATATAGATAATGCTTTTATAACAAAATAAAATTTAAAAAGCCTTAAACCAATATATCAGTGTATTTAAATATACAGAAATAATCTAGGTGCACTCACACCTGTTGATAAAAATACCAGTCCTGCCAGGTGTGGTGGCACACGCCTATAATCCTAGCAGCTGGGGAGGCTGAGGCAGGAAGATCGCAAGTTCAAAGCCAGACCCAGAAAAAGTGAGGCACTAAGCAACTCAGTGAGACTCTGTCTCAAGTACAAAATAGGGCTGGAGATGTGGCTCAGTGGTCCAATGTCCCTGAGTTTAATCCCGGTACCAAAACAAACAAACAAACAGACAAAAAAAAAAAAAAAAAACAGTCCTTAGATAGCTAGTGGCTATTCTAGGTATGTTTACACTCATTAACTTATTTAATCTGGATGGAATGTTTTCATTTTGCTACATGAAGGAATTGACAGACATAAAATTAAGTAGTAAGTGCAATGTCACACAGGTACTAAGTCACAGACCTGGAACACAAACCCAGGCCCCCATGGGGAAAGGAATGGACAGTAGGAATAGAGAGGGCAGTTGAAAAGGAACTTCTATTTGACTCATTTGTATTTTTGAAAATGATAATTCTTGTCTAAAATTAAAAAGAATGAACTCATCTCCAAAAGAAGGATGGGGGCAAAGGAGGCAAGGGGGSCAGAAGGGTGGGGCCGGTATCCTACCATTGTCCGTGGCAATGATGAGGGCCGTATACGTGCTGTTTTTCACATGCTCAAAGTTCTCTCTGTCCAGTTCAGCCCGAGTCAAAATGGCACCAGTCTCCGGATTAATCTCCAGCCAGTTGGCAGTGTCCCTCCAAATGCGATATCTGAAAAGTTGCAGGCCCTGGCTTAGCATGGGAACATCAAAAAGCACCGAGCTAGAGAAGACTAAGGTACCTCCTGATTTATATCATTATTTCCAATATTTTTATTTTAAGAACTATCAACTCTACAACCTTTTTATGAAGTGTTGGGCCTTGACATGCTAGGCAAGCACTCTACCACTGAGCTACATCCCTACCCGTTGATTTACCCATTGTTAACATTTTGCAACATTTACTTTCTCAAACTATATATTCGCACACACACACACACACACACACACACACATAATTTCTTATTTTGCTAAGTCATTTGAGAATGAGTTGATGATACCATGTCCCTTTACTTACCTATACTACAGTGTATTTCCTAAGAACAGAAACATGTGTGTGTGTGTATATATATATATATATATATATATTACACATATACATATATTTATGAATAAATATGTAAGTTTGTAAAATATGTAAATTTTTATAGTCTCAACCACAGATTGATTTTCTTTTTTCTTTCCCTCTTTCTTGTGTGGTACTAGGAATTGAACAGTTTATTTTGGAGACAGGGTCTCACTACATTGCCCACACTGGCTTTGACTTGTGATCCCCCTGTCTTAGCCTCCCAAGCAGCTGGGATTATAAGTGTATGCCACCACACAAGGCTCACATATTGATTTTCAATTCAGGAAACAAAACTCTTTTTTTTTTTTTAAATGTTTTTTTAATTGTAGATGGACACAACACCTTTATTTTATTTATTTATTTTTATGTGGTGCTGAAGATCGAACCCAGTGCCTCACATATTCCAGACGAATGCACTACCACTGAGCCACAACCCCAGCCCAGGAAACAAAACTCTTATGACAGAACATTATTATTGAATATAGGATACATGTTCGAATTGTCAAATATTCCCCCAAATGTCTTTTATAGTGATCTTGCGCCTTTTTGGATTCAATCTGTTCTCAGTATCCCAAAGTCTTCTCTGTCCAGCCCCATCCTCACAGAAATGGAACCAGTATCCAGATTAATCTCCAGCGATTTAATGGCTCATCAATGGCATTAGCTGACGTGTCTCTAGTTTCCATTAATCTGGACGCACACCTTGCCCTTTCCTTCTTATATCTGACATTTTTTAAATGTGTGGACCAGTTGTTTTGTAGGATGTGCCTCAATTTCAGATTGTCTAATTATTCCCTTTTGGAGGGTACAGAGGGGATGAAAACCCTGTAGAGGTGAGGTTGAATCACCTTAGAAGGCTCTTGATGTCCATCTGTTCTTTTATTGGTAATGTCAACTTTGTCACTTGGATAAGGAAAAGTCACTGGATTTCTTCACAAGAAACGTATCTTTTTCTCTTTGTAGTTAATCTATAATCTAGCAGAAGGTCATTTGGAAATATCCTTTTTACCCACTTTTACGMAATGAACTTAACATCTATAAGTAATTCTTGCCCAAAGCAATGCTTATTATGACCTTATATCATCATCATCATCATCTCACCACCACCACCATCACCATCACTTTTGGTAGTAGGAATTGAACCCAATGGATATACCTCAAAGTGGTAAARCACACTTTTATTTTTTATTTTGATATAGGGTCTCACCAAGTTGCTCAAGGCCTCCTTAAGTTGCTGAGACTGGCCTCGAACTTGTAGTCCACCTGCCTCAATCTCCCAAATCGCTGAGATTACGCTCCAGACTCAAAATCCTACATTATTTTATTTTGTTTTTCATATTCTTTCACACTGTGATTAAAAATACTTTWTATCAGGCCTTCTATTTTATACAACCTAGAAGTATCCCTTGGATTATGATTAGTACACTCACTATATGTACAAAATTAATGTATKTCAAAGCAAAGTGTTGTAGGTGCCCTCAAATTCAAAATAAGAAACGGTAAGCTACCAATAACACAATACCACATGCATAATTTTAAATCATATTCCTATAGGCAAGGGCAGTGACTCTGGGTACTTAGGAGGCTGAGGCAGGAGGACCACTTGAGCCCATGTCCAAGACATTCCAGGCAACAAAGGGAGACCATGCCTTAAAACAAAACAGCCAGATACATTGTGACCCTGTCTCAACTACTCAGGCTGACAAAAGGACAGATTGGGAAATCTTATCTCAGAGAAAGACTGGGAAAATAGCTCTGTGGTAGAGCACTTGTCTACCTCAAAATCCTGGATTCAATACCCAATGCCACCAACAAAACAAAACAAATCAAAGCTGCTGGACCTGGTGGCACACACCTTTAGTCCCAGCAACTCGATCAGTTGAGGTAGCAGGATCACAAGCCTCAGACTCAGAATAAAAAATTAAAAGACTGAGGATGTAGTTCAGTAGTAAAGCACTCCTGGGCTAAATCACCAGTACCAAACCAAACCAAACCAAACAAACAAGAAAACAAAATCACATTCCTACTACATTATCATAAGAACTCAAAGTGGGATGCACGCCTGTAATCCTAGCAACTTGAGAGGCTGAGGCAGGAGGATCACAAATTCACAGCAGTTTAGTGTGACCCTGTTTCAAAACAAAACAAAACAGAAAAATAGATGGGAAGGACATTAAACCTAGAATGGCCAACTATTGAGGGAAAGGAAATGATGTGGGGCACAGGAGTTAAAAAAAAAAAAAAAAAACAGAACAAGAGAAAAGTGTTGCACAGTCCAACCATGCCAGGAGTGAAATACTCATGTGACACATAATGAGGATCAGTCATCCAAACACTGCATTCATGATCACCTAGTGAYAATGGGGCTAATTTAATTTGTATAACAATCGTGTTCACACAATGATGAACAAGCCAAAGAGGAATTTCTTGGAACATATTCCTATCATTAAGTGAAGCATAACTACATGTGTGTTTACCTAAAAATAAATAAATAAATAAAATCATACACACACGCACACACACACACACACACAACAATATCCACTTGTCACAAGACCATTGAGAAACCCATACACTCACGTAATCTTCTGTTGCATGAAGGTGTCTGGCTCCCGGGCCGTGTAGGACGTGATTTCCAGGCCCACACCAAAGTCTTCAGGCACCTCCACTCTCTTTTCAGGAGGCACAAAGATGGGGGCTTCGTTCACATCCATCACATCCACAGTGACGGTGGCTGTGGAGGTTTGGAGAGTCACCTCAAAGGGGGCCACATTTGTCACTGTCACATATAGAATGTACTGCTGCTTGGCCTCAAAATCCAAACCCTAGAGAACAGGAAGGAAAAAAAAAAAAAGATTAAAAATAAAATACAAGGGCCTGGTGTGGTGGTGCGCCTGTAACCTTGGTAACTTGGGAGGCTAAGACAGGAAGATTGTAAGTTCAAAGCCAACCTCAGCAACTTAGAGGAGACCTGTCTCAAAATGAAAAATAAAAAGGGCTGGGGATGTGGCTCCACGGTTAAGCGTCCCTTTGTACCACGAAATACATAAATAATGAAGAAAATACAAGGACTACAGCTATAGCTCAGAGGCAGGGTGCTTGTCTAGCATGCACAATGTGCTAGGTTCAACCCCTACTACCACTCAAAAAATAGAAAAATGTCAAGAAACATTTCATGTTGGTAAAACTAAACAAAAATTAAATCCTTAACCATTGCTCTTGGTTGGATACACCAGCAGTTAAACATGGCAGTTCACTTGCTAAAGAGGATGTCAAAGCTCAGGGGCTATTCCAGGCATGTGCCTTTTCTCAACTTCAACAAGCAACTCAGCCAACTTCTTAGTTTCCAAGTTTCTAGGACATTTTTCACACACACAATAAAAGAGCCAACACCAGTAAATCACATTATTCTCTCTTATTTGCAAAACAGAAAAGGGATTAGGAGAGGCCAATGTTTCTGGGACCAAGCACATTAAAGCAGATGGTACTCCTGGGCTCAATGGCACACACCTGTAACCCCAGAGGCTGAGAAAACTGAGGCAGAAGGATTTCACATTTGAAGCCAGGCTAAGCAACTCAGTAAGACCCTATCTCGAAATAAAAACAAAAAGGGCTTAGGGTGTAGCTCAGTGGTAGAGTACCCCTGGGTTCAATCCACGGTGCACAAAAAGGTGGTGGGGAGCAAATGGAACTGCCTCTTCAATTTTAGGTTTTAGTACCCCACAAGCCCTGTACAACTGACCCACCAGAACCTGGGCAATCTGCCCCACCCCTACCCCACCAATACTAATCTACTTCTGAGAAGACAGTGGCGGGCAAGAGAGCAGCTGGCTGCTAGGTTATGCGGCTTACCAGGCACCATACAAACCTTAGCTGTCTTCAGAATGCCATCATTGGTCATTGGGTCTGTGACGACAACAAACTGTTGCTCATTATCATTTAATATGGTGTACACGGCCTCCCACGCCGGGGTGTTGCGGTCGTCCGCATCAGTGACTTTGAGTGTAGTGATGACAGCATTAACTTCATTCTCAGGCACCTGACCCTCATACTGCAGGACAAAGGAAAAGATAGGTCATACTGACATGGAGAGTAGAACCAGGTCTCAGGCTAAAGGAATCCATTCTGAGCCTGAGCCTAAAGGAGATGGTGTAACAAAACCAGGTTGGGCAGCAGGCACAAATCTCAAAGGATGTCCTCACTCTAGGAGCAGGCCCTTATATCTGTGCACGGAGCAGTTAGTACTCATGGTACCCTCCTCCATGAGTACTTAAAAAGTAGCTTTCCTGGGCTGGGTTTGTGGCTCAGTGGTAGAGTGCTTGCTTAGTATGCATGAGGCACTGGGTTCGATTCTCGACACCACATACAAATAAATAAAATAAAGGTCCATCAACAACTGAAAAATATTTAAAAAAAAAAAAAAAAGTAGCTTCCTGGGGCATAGTGGCTGATAGTGAGGGATCTTGGTCAGATGATCTTAGTTCATTCACCTCCAGCCCCCCTCTGTTCTCTACCAGTCATGTCTGGTTATTAAAATCCTCTCCTTAAAACCCTTTAACAAGGGCTGGGAGAGTGTTTGCCTCCCATGTACAAGCCCTGGATTCAATCCCTAGCACCACAAAGAAAGAAAGAAAAAACCCTTTAACAATGACCCCCTGTGCTAGGGATAATATTCAAAGTTCTTTTATTTGGCTCTCAGAATCTCCTTAATTGCATTTAACACTCTTGGCATCATTATTCCTATAAATTGCAAAACATCTTCCTGATGTAGACTATTAGCTCCATGAGACCAGACTTTTATGCTTTGTGACACAGTGCCTAGTATATAAGTTTAGAAAATATAAATACATGAAACCTGGTAAGATTTGCTACAAAGATGCATAATTCGAGGAAATGGATATAATGGGTGCTTYTACAACTTTATAATTCTTTGCTGACGGGCTCCAGGCCAAGGATGGAACAAAGATGCTCACAGTAGGTTTAGAATTAACATTTACTAGTTCGGGGAAGAGTTCTCAAGGTCTTGACCTTGAATAATGGACTTTTCTTTGGAAACCACCTAAGCAGTTGCAAGCTTACCATGGTTGGGTGGAAGATGGGAGGGTTATCGTTGGTGTCAGTGACTGTGATGATGGCTTTTGCTGTGGTACTCAAGCCATCACCTTGGAGATCAGCAGCTTGAACCACCAGAGTATACTTGGGAAAACTCTGCAGACAGATCACACATACACCTGAGTCAGGACCAGTAGCAATAGCCACAGGGGCCCAAACAAGCCGATTGCACATACAGAACTACAATATTTTCTCAGCTTAAATGCATCTAGGCACAGAAAATTGGGCAATTGTTTAGATGCAAAGCTCAGACCATCACACTAACTAGCAACTGGCCACAGCAGAGTTTTGCAGTGACATATAGCTAATATACATTTGCTTTCAATTCCCACTGGATCCTCCTGAGCTCTGCCTGACCTCTCTGTCCAGCCCGGTGGTGACCACACTGATGACCCCTGTTTCCCGGTTGATGGTGAACATATTGCGGTGAGGCAACTCGGGTTCTTGGGAGAGGATGGTATAAGCAATGGCAGCATTGTAAGTGTTCACATCGTCATCTGCATCCGTGGCTGAGACCTGCATCACAGAGGTTCCTGGAAGCATCAAGGGAGAGGAAGATTTAATTGGGCTGCACCCTGGGACCTGCTTAGTACTGTTCAGTTCAATCCTGGCCAGAGTGGTAAAGGAGGACCCTACAGATGGCACTTTGTTATAGTTCCCCTTCTTCTCTAATTTCTAAAATTCTCACCAAATTGCTAGGGGACAAAAGCAAGCACTACACCACATGAGCCGTGTTCAGGGAACTCAACATCCCCAGGACAAATTTTTGGGYGGGAGTGAGAAGATTTATTGGAAATAACTATAAACTTTTACTAAAACATCTTGCCATATCTCATACTGAGTTGAATGTCATGTAAAACAAAAATTCCAGAATTTTCTGCAATTCACCTCTCAGTTCATTAGAGAATGGTCATTTGGCATCATTACCTTTAAGGTGGAGTAAAATACTTAAAACACATGTGACTGACAAAGGACCAGTGTCCAATATATCTAAGTAACTTAAGAATCAATAGCAGGGGGCTGGGGATGTGGCTCAAGCAGTAGCACGCTTGCCTGGCATGCATGCGGCCCGGGTTCGATCCTTAGCACCACATACCAACAAAGATGTTGTGTCCGCCGAGAACTAAAAAATAAATATTAAAAATTCTCAAAAAAAAAAAGAATCAATAGCGGGCTGGGATCGTGGCTCAGTGGTAGAGTGGTCGCCTAGCATGGGCCGGACCCAGGTTCGATCCTCAGCACCACATAAAAATAAAGGCATTGTGTTGTGTCCAGATACACCAAAAAATAAATATTAAAAAAAAATATATTAAAAAAAAAGAATCAATAGCAAAAATACAACTGATCTAAGAAAACAAAACAAAACAAAAAAAGGCAAAAAAAAAAAAAAACTTCAATAGACAAATCATAAAGAAGAAACAAATTAAAAATAGCTGGTAAGCATATGCCAAGATGCTTACATAGCCCATTAGTCACCTCAGAAATGCAGGTTGTTGTTGTTTGAATTTTTATTTTTTTGCAGTGCTGGGGATTAAGTCCAGGGCCTCATGCATACTAGGTAGGTGCTCTACCTCTGAGCCACACTCTAAGCCCGAAAGTACAATTTTAAATTGCACCAAGATGGCATCACATGCCCAACAGATTGGCAAAAACAAAACCATTAAACAATTTCTGGGAGTATAAACTGGTTTTAACAACCTTGAAAACCTACTTGACACCATTAAGTAAAGCTGAATACACATAATACACCATTATGAATGTGTACCCTAGAGAAATTGTCATGTATTTGTACCAGGAGATATGTAAGGATATTCTAAGAATGCTGTTCAGAATAGCAACAAACAAAAAGAGCCCCAATTTCTATCAACAGTGGAATAAGCTTTACATAATTAACCACAGAAGGGAATACTTAGCAGCAATGAAATGAATGATCTATCATGCCCACCAATGAAGATCTTACATGCATAATGAAAGAGGTCATAGAAATATATGTATAAACCAGGCCCAGTGGTGCATGCCTGTAATCCCAGTGGCTCAGGATGCTAAGGCAAGAAGTCAGTCTCAGCAACTTAATGAAGTCCTAAACAATCCCTCTGCTCAAAATAAAAAATAAAAAGGGCTGCGATGTGGCTCAGTGGTTAAACGCCCCTGGGTTTAATCCCCAAAATCAGGGGGGAAAAAAGAAAGAAAGAAATTTATCTATACTGTGATTCCATGTATATAAAGCTTAAAAGTAAGCCAAAGTAGCAAATTATTACCTAGGGGTAAATCTCCACCTGGGTAAAAGATAAGGAAAATCAAGGGAGGGATATGTGCATGAGATTACTCCTTTCTGCGCATGGTCGCCTGCTGCAGCCATGTCTAAATCAGAGTCCCTAAAGAGAACTGGTTTTGATCTTCAGCACCACATAAAATTAACAGACAAAATAAAGGTATGATGTCCATCTACAACTACAAAAAAAAAGAGCCCAAACAGCTGCAGAAGCTATTCATCGTAGGGCTGAGCTTTGAGATAACTGATGAGAGTCTGAGAAGTCATTTTRACCAATGGGGAACACTCGTGGACTGTGTGGTAATGAGACACACCAAGTGCTCCAGGGGCTTTGGGTTTGTCCTTATGCCACCGTGGAGGAAGTGGATGCAGCCAGAAATGCAAGACTACACAAGGTAGGTGCAAGAGTTGTGGAACCAAAGAGAGCTGTCTCAAAAGAAGATTCTCAAAGACCAGGGGGCCCACTTAACCTTGAAAAAGATCTTTGTTGTTGGCATTAAAGAAGACACTGAGGGCCTGGGGTTGTGGCTCAGCGGTAGAGTGCTCGTCTAGCACGTGCAAAGCCCTGGGTTTGATCCTCAGCACCACATAAAAATAAAATAAATGAAAAATAAAGGTATTAAAAAAAAAAAAAAGAACATCACCTATGAGATTACTTGGAACACAACAGGAAAATTGAAGTTATTGAAATCATGAGTGACAGAGGAAATGGAAAGAAAAGAGGCTTTGCTTTCATGACTTTTTTTCCCCCCAAAATATTTATTTTTTAGTTGTAGTTGGACACAATACCTTTATTCTATTTGATTTTTATGTGGTGCTGAGGATCAAACCCAGGGCCTCGCATATGCTAGGCAAGGCCAGCCCCTTGCTTTTCTAACTTATACACGACTTTGTGTATAAGATTGTCATTCAGAAATACCATACTGTGGGCTGGACACAGTAGTGCACGCCTGTAATCCTAGTGGCTCAGGAGGCGGAGGGAGGAGGATCACAAGTTCAAAGCAAGCCTCAGCAATTTAGCAAGGCCCTAAGCAACTCAGTGAGACCCTGTCTCTAAATAAAATACAAAATAGGGCTGGGGATGTGACTCAGTGGTCAAGTGCCCCTGAGTTCAATCCCCAATATCAAAAAGAAAGAAAGAAAAAATTACCATACTGTGAATGGCCACAACTGTGAAGTGAGGAAAGCCCTGTCAAAGCAAGAGATGGTTAATGCTTCATCTAGCCAGAGAGGTTGAAGTGGTTCTGGAAACTTTGGTGGTGGTCATGGAGATGATTTTGGTGAAAATGACAATTTTGGTCATGGAAGGAAATTCAGTGGTTGTAGTGGCTCTGTAGGCAGCTGTGATGGTGGTAGATATGGTGGCAGCGGGGATGGCTACAATGGATTTGGTAAGGACGGAAGCAATTTTGGAGGTGGTGGAAGCTACAATGATTTGGGCAATTACAACAATCAGCCATCAAATTTTGGACCCATGAAGGGTAGAAACTTTGGATGCAGAAGCTCTGGACCTTATGGTGATGGAGGCCAATACTCTGGCAAACCACGAAACCGAGGGGCTATGGCGGTTCCAGCAGCAGTAGTAACTATGGCAATGGCAGAAGGTTTAAATACTGCCATGGAACAAAGCTTCTCAGGAGAGGAGAGCCAGAGAAGGGTCAGGGAAGCTACAAGTTACAATAGATTTGTGAACTCAGCCAAGCAGTATTGGCAGGGCCTAGCTGCTACAAAGAAGACATGGTTTAGACAATCCTCGTGTGTATGGGCAAAAAACCTCGAGGACTGTATTTGGGACTAATTGTATAACAGATTATTTTAGTTTCTGTTCTGTGGAAAGTGTAAAGCATTCAGGGCTGGGGATGTGGCTCAAGTGGTAGCATGCTTGCCTGGCATGTGTGAGGCACCGGGTTCAATTCTCAGCACCACATAAAAGCAAAATAAAGATATTGTGTCCACCTAAAAAAACTAAAAAATAAATATTAAAAAAAAAAGAAAAAGTGTAAAGCACTCCAATAAAGGATTTTACTGTAGTTTTTTTTTTTGTACCCATGCTATTGATTGCTAAATGTAATAGCCTGATCATACACTGAATAAATGTGTCTTTAAAAGCAAAAAAACAAAAAGGGCTGAGGCTGTAGCTCAGTGACAGAAGATCTTGCCTTGCCCATGTGAGGCACTGGTTTCGATCCTCAGCACCATATAAAATTAACAGACAAAATAAAGGCATCTACAACTACAAAAAAGAAAAAAGAAAAGAAAGAAAAGAAAATCAAGGGAATGATTACCACAAAAGTCAAGGCTATATAATTATTAAATCAATTTAAAAAAAATTTTTTTTTTTTTAGGACTGGGGATATAGCTCAGTTGGTAGAGAGCTTGCCTCCCATGCATCACCACAAAAAAAAAAAAAAAAAAAAAAAGTTTTTTTAAAAGTCAGGACAATGGCTGGGCAGTAGCACATGACTGTAATTCCAGTGACTCAGGAGGCTGAGGCAGGAGGATCGAAAATTCAAAGCCAGCTTCAGCAACTTATCAAGGCCCTAAGGAACTTAGTGAGACCCTGTTTCTAAATTTAAAAAATTTATACATGGCTGGGGATGCTGCTCAGTGGTTAAGCATAACTGGGTTCAATCCCTGGCACCAAAAGGAGGGGGAAAAGTCAGGGCAATGGCTACCATAATGGAGGAGAGATAAGAATGTGATCTAGAAGGGTTTATGGGGTTTAGGGTGCTGGTGAGGATCTGTTTCATAATCAAGAAAGTTGTCTTAAACGGTTCTGGTTCTATCTGTTTCTGTGGGCAAATTGTTTTACACACCCAGTGTAAATAAAGCTGACCCATATAATGGGTCACCTTCAGTAACCTGACCCCGAGCTCCAGCCCTAACACTTTGGGATCTAAAGTATCTCAGTGACTCTGGGTGTCTGACTCCTTGCCACACATGTACCTGGAAGAGCTCCCTCCATGACAGATCCCTGGAAGACATCCTGGATGAAGTCGGGCCTGTTGTCATTCTGATCTGTCACTGTGATCACAATCTCCATGGGTTCCTCGACTGCATTCCCGTTTGAAGACACGGCATGAGAAAAGAGCTGCAAGAGTCAAATGAGGGTTACTTGGGCCCCGATGAGGAAGACGAGGTGGAAATGGGGGCTGGCGAGAGTCGCATGGGCTCGGCCCAGCCTCCACTCTTCCCACTGTGAACCCCCAGAGAGGACTTTTCCCACGTGTGTTCTGCTGCTTCAACGAGATCACGACAAGTTGAGACACATGGGCTATAGAACACAACCACTAGGTCAGGCCTCTGTCTCCCACAGCAAGACTGCGGCACCAAGGCCAGAGGTAAAGGCAGAGGCCTAAAAACTTCTGACTTACTCCACTCAGGGTCAAGTTTGCTCTGCCCTCAGTCTGGTGTTTCTCCCAGATTTTTCTGCATTTGGCATTCATACTAAATCTCCCTCTTCCCTAAGCTCTGATTTCTATCAAGTCCCAGAAATGGTTTTTGCTTTCCAATATCAATACTATCTTCTTTCTTTAGGAACTTCCAGCCCCAAGAACAGGATGACATCCTGGGTCTAAACTCCTACATGACCTGTGAAGACTCCTCCCCCTCTTTTTCCTAATAAGGAAAAAAGATGAACTGCCCCAGGTTCACCTGCCATTTCACCTTATCAACAAGTCAAGGGATGTCAAAAGCTAAGCTCTCCACATGTCCAGATCATCAGATCTGGGGACCCCACAGGAGTTGACTAAAGGATTTTGGAGAGATGTTACCCGCCCTGGTCAACAAGCAAGAGGTACTTACGATGTACTTGGCAATTTTTTCTCTATCCAGAGGCTCCGTCACTTTCAGCTTTCCTGTTTCTCTTTCAATAATAAACACACCAACAGGGGGTGAGTCAGCTCCTTGGCCAGTGATACTGTAGAAAACCTTGGTCTCTTTGTCCCTGTTGGATTTGATCTGAAAACAAACAAACAAACAAACAAATACAATTGGCAAGGAAAGATCCCAACTTCGGTCGGGTCTTTTCCCTTTCTCTTCATTGGCTCTCCTCTGCCAAATTCCTTCCAAAGAAATAGAGAATTTTCTTCTTTACCTGAACCAGTTCTTTAGGAAATGGCCCTTTTTCATTTTCTGGACAGCTGATGGGAGGGATAACCCAGTCTCTCTTCTGTCTTCTGAGACCACGGTGGGAGTCAGGAAATGTGAGCACTTCTGTATGGGTTCCAGGGAGAGACTCCTAAAAGGAATGGAGATGAAGAACAAAATGAGAAAATTCAGGAGAGACACTACAAACCTGACTGACCAACCTACTCGCTCAATGTCTTCAGCCTGGAGGGCACTGTTGGTTTTAACTTAATGACACATTCGCTTCGATGAGAAATTATATATCCATTCCAAAATGAGCAGCCGAAACAAAAATCAACGAACCCCTTTTCCCCTGCTACAATTTGGATGTTGAACATCTTCCTAAAGTTCCAGGTGGTTTGGCCCCTAGACTGATGCTATTGAGAGGTGGTGGAAACTTCAGGAGGTGGGGCCTATGATAAGTTTTCAAATCATTGGAGTTGTCCTCGAAGAGAATTATGGGAACCAGTCTCCTCTTCTTCCTCTCTGCTCAGGGAAGTGGTTTGCTCTGCCACTTACTCCCACCATAATGTGCTATCTTCACCAGAGGACCAAATTAAAAGGGCAACTTGGACTGGAACCTGCCAAAACCATGAGTCAAACTAGATACTTTCTGTTTATAAGTTTATTGCCTCAGGTATTTTGTTATAGGGATGGAAAGCTGACTAATACAACCATATAATAAAGACTATGTTCTATTTTGATCCTTCTTAGTGTCCATAATGCAAATAATCATTATGAATACATAACTATAGTTTGACATTTGAGATTATCATTTTAGTTATTTCAAGTCTATGTAATATGTCATTTTTATAGCAACATTACAGTCTAGTGATTTAATATCAGAGTTTATTCAATAACTAAATATGCAAGTGTTTTCAATTTCCTTTCTTTTATGTTTTTCCCAGGGATATAGTTCCCCAAAGTTGATCTGCCAAAACAAGTTTGGGAAATTGCCACTAAGAACTACTTTGTGATGAATATAAATCAATCTCACTGTGCTATATCTATAAAGTTTCCATTTGCTCTAACAGAAGCTGTTAGGATAAGCACCAAAAACACCCTTTGAGACTCATATTGAACAGTTTTCTTGTGCAATAAAGATAACTTTATGCACAATCAGGATAATAGGAGAATTGAAGGGTGGAAGAAAATATCTCCCAATTTGTTTTAAGTTTGCTATTGTTGTTTATACTAGGGATTGAACTCAGGGGTGCTTTACCACTGAGCTATATCCCAGTTCTTTCTCTTTTTTATTTTGATACAGGGGCTCACTAAGTTGCTGAGGCTAACTTCTAACTTGCAATCCTCCTGCCTCAACCTTCTGAGTTGCAGGATTGCCAGGTGTGTGCTGCCATGCCTAGATGTTGAAGTATTTTGGAATGACTAGTGAGTTTCCAATGGAAAATTCTACCTTCCTCCCTCCACAGAAGGGTGCTCACTCATACTCCCTGATCACTGTTTGCCAAGTTTGATTCAAGCCAGATTTCCTGGCTTTTTTTTTTTTAATTTCAGATTCAAGATGTAAAAGATAAATGAGACACACCCAGGTACAGTCCCCAGGCACTTCCACAGTCACGCATGCACAGGGCATACCCCCCTCCTCTGTCCTGCCCATCCTTGCATTTGTCTCCCACAGAGGCAGGCCAACCAGGGCCAAAAGCAGGCTCTGGGTCTAGGCTGCTGGGCTTTGAATCCTCACTATGGCACCTCCTTGTTCAGGACAGATCAGTTGACTTCTCTGTATCTGTCTCCTAATATCCAAAATGGGAGCGATATCAGTACTTATATCATAGGTCACTGGAAGGATTAAATGAAATAATGGTACATGTAAAGTACTTAAAATAGCACCTGACACATACTAAGTGCTCAATAAATGACTGGCTAAAAAAAACACTGAGTTGGGGCTGGGGATGTGGCTCAGGCGGTAGCGCGCTCGCCTGGCATGCGTGCTGCCCGGGTTCGATCCTCAGCACCACAAACCAACAAAGATGTTGTGTCCACCGAGAACTAAAAAAATAAATATTAAAAATTCTCTCTCTCTCCTCTCTCTCTTTAAAAAAAAAAAAAAAAAAAAAACACTGAGTTATAGGATTTTGGGAATCCAACAGAAATGATGCAAGATAATGACCACTGACAGCATGCCCTAGGCTTTAAAATGATCATTGCTCACAGCCAAGGTACTGAGGAATGAATGCAAACCCATTTGCCAGACAGAAAAGGAATTCAGAGATCATGCCTTGCTGACATCAGGACTGCAGAATGCTTTCAGATGATGATAATAAATAGTGAGGAACCCTGTGCTGGCTACACATAGGATTAACATTTTCATGTGTGAAATTAAAGGGAAAAGTGTGTCTTCTTCATACTGAACATGCAGGCTACCAAACTGCAAAAACCCACTTGAATTAAGTGAAAGAACTAGAAAATTAGATCTATTCTAATACAAAATTAAAATGAAGTAAGGGGGGTTGGGGGTGTCACTTGGGGGTAGGGCACTTTCCCAGCATGCACAATGCCACAGGGTCAATCCCCAATACTGGGGACAGGAGTCAGGTAAGATTGCTGCCCCTTTTCTTAACACAGCACCACCTGGATCCACATGGGTCCCTTAAACTAGAGACAAAACAAAGGGAAGGTCAAGGCAATTATGACAGAGTTTGCTACTACCCCAATACCCATTCTCCCTTTCTTATTAAACACAAAACAAAACCAAAAACTCTTTTTCTCTAGTATATATCTCAATTTGTACCCAGCAATATACCCACAGAAAAAACTTCATCTCTGTAAAAAGTTACACTTGTACCCAGGTGTGGCCATGAGGCTAAGTTCTAGCTAATGTGATACATTAGAAGTACTGCTTCAGAATTCCACAAGGGTTGCTTAAAAGACAGATAACTTAAGAAATAATGCACTTTCGTGCTTCTCTTTCTCTTTTCTTTCGAGAGGTGTCGGGATGTGGTACTAGGGATTGAGATTGAACCTAGGGTCTTGCATATTTAGGCAAATACTCTACTACTGAGCTTATACCTCTAGTTCCTTTCTTCTTCTTATCACATAGGATAAAGAATGCTGTCAGGTGTAGTGGTACATGACTTATAATCCTAGCTACTCAGGAGGCTGACTAGAGCTACAGCAGCCATTTTTGGATCATGAGGTAACCGTGAGAATACAATCCCTGTGCTGAGGGCAACAAAGTGGAGAGGAGAGGAGAAACCTGGGTTCTTGATGACCGTAGAGTCTCTACACTAGGTACAGCTTACCTTTGGACTTCTTTAACTTAAAAGAGTATTTGGGGGAAAAAAATTGTAATTTGCAGTTTTATATATGTATACTTGAACTAACTCCTGATGCAACAGCGGAAGAAGAAGAGGCAAAGTTGGCTGAGGTAAAGATGGAAAGTTAAAGAAGAACCAAGTTCAAGTTCAAAACTGTTTCAGTGGTGGTGAGACGCTTTCACGGGCAGCTACCTAGTGAGAATTCATTGAGCTGAGCTTATTCTTGTGAACGCCAGGCCAACTGGAGACTGAAGGCAGGGAGTCATGTTAAGGTAGCTCTACTAATTTCCTCATTTTTCTGATGATTCCACTAGGGAGAAAAATTAACTCTATCAAGAAGACTATTAAGTACCAAGAACCTCAAGAGTCCTCAGGGAGGAAAACAGGACGTACTCTTAAAGGCTTTGGCACTTATGGTATAGTCCAACTTTCCGAGGCAGTAAGCAGGATCCAACTAGAATGTTCCCCCAGAGGCACATTTTGGTAGGAAGCACTGTGGGAGGAGTTTCAAAGCTAGGGAAGGCATTTGGCTTTTGATAACACCCTCCAGAAACATTCTTGCCAAGAACCTAGGCAGACGTACATCCTTCCATTCATGGCCAATCCCATCTATCTGGCCATTCGATACTTACAGGCTCCCGATATGCACCAGAGCTAATGGCCATGCACTGCAAACGAAACGGGGAAGGATCCTGGGCAAGTTCAGTGGAGCATAGGCTTCCTCTGGTTCCTCCTATTCTTTGTAAAGATGCCCCCACAAGAAACACCAAGAGCAAATGATCAGAAAATCCACCTCTCATTTACTCTGCCTCCGGGAGGAAAACAATAACAGCTATCAAGTAACAAGTACCTATTAGTCAGCCCTGCGTAGCTGCAGGTTTATATCTATGGATTCAATCACCATGGATCAAAAGTTAAAAAAAATAATAATAAAAAGTCAGGTATGGTGTTGCCAGCCTAAAATCCAGCAACTCGGGACGGATCACAAGTTCAAGGCCAACTTCAACAAATTAGTAAGGCCCTAAGCAACTTAGTGAGAACCTGTCTCAGAATAAAAAATAAAAAGGGGGCTGGGGATGTGGCTCAAGCGGTAGCGCGCTCGCCTGGCATGCGTGCGGCCGGGGTTCGATCCTCAGCACCACATACAAACAAAGATGTTGTGTCCGCCAAGAACTATAAATATTAAAATTCTCTCTCTCTCTCTCTCTCTTAAAAAAAAAAAAAAAAAAAAAGATTCCCTTAAACTCACTGTACTTCTCTTTAAATAAATAAATAAATAAATAAATAAATGGACTGGGAATGTGGCTCAGTGGCAAAGCATCGGGGGTTCATTCACTCCCTAATACCTACCTTCCTCCTCCAAAAAAAAAAAAAAAAAAAAAAATCACTGAGCATGGTGGCCTGTAATCTTAGCAACTCAGGAGGATGAGGCAGGAAAAGCTCAAGGTCCAGCTCAGCAACTTGGCAAAACCCTGTCTCAAAATAGCAGGTTGGGGGCAAGGGGGACATTAGAGATATAGCACCGTGGTAAGGCATCCCTGGGTAAAATTGCCAGTACCGTCTCCACCAAAATTGTTTGTATTGAACATGTACAGATTGTGTAAGAATAATTTATATTGTATTTGGTATTGTAAGTAATCTAGAGAAGATTTTAAAGAATACAGAGAATATGTGTAGGTTATGTGCAAATACTATGCCGTGTTATATAAGGGACTTGAGCAGCGAGGTGAGGGGGAGTTTTGGAACCAATTCCCCATGGATACAGGTGCACATGCCTAGCATATTCTTCACGTTTTACATGTATTTCATTTAGTCCTCCTTAACCTCATTTCACAAGTAAGAAAAATCAGGTTAAGTGACTCCTCCAAGGTTACCTGGGTAACCAATGGCAAGCAGATTCAACCCCATACAGGGTCCACTCTTCTGTACTACCTGACCCCCACAACCTACTAACAAGCCCCCAAATCCAACAAGAGGTAGTTCAGTTTAACAAAAAGTCCTCTCAATTGGAGGTGATTTTGTAACTCTCTACCCCAAAGGACCCCTGGCAGTATCTGAAGGTATTTTTTTGGTTGTCAACACCAACAGAGGTGCTTCTGGCATCTAGGTATGGCCAGAAATGCTGCTCAAAAATCCCATGGTGCACAGGACAGTGCCTCTTCCCCCAGAATTAGCCAGCCCCAAATACCAATGGTGCCTCCTGGGCTGAGAAACCCAAATTCAACAGCAGATCAAACGTGTGTGACTTCTAAGGTACACCCCTACGTACATGATGGTGGTGGCGCCGGTGACGGTGGTGCTCCACTGCCTTCAGCGTGACTTTGGTAGAGAGCTTTCTATAGGAAGAGTCCCAGGCATGGACCATAAAACTCGTCTCTGGTCTATGAAGCTGTACAGGCCGTTTGACTGTGATCACACCGTCTGTGCCCACTTTGAATCGAGAGTCTTCAGAAAAGAAGGCTGACCTTGGTCGACCCGTGCATCCTTCAAAAGTCACTGCAGGGCAGAAATCACAGTGATTGGGAAATTAGGATTAGGGCAGATTGAAGACAAGAGTGCTCCCTCTCCAAAAAACAAACTGGATTCACCCACAAAAGCGCAACTCACGCAAAACAGAAGCAAAACCATCACCGGGTGACACAACAAAGCTGTCCCCAGAGTCATTCGCAATTACAGGACAACTGCTCACTGTGGTTTGTTTTTTTTCTCATACTGTTTTGTCAAGTGAAAACAATATCTAATCTAGAAAGTAGCTTTTCTGTTTCAGTAATGATAACCAAAAAAGGGCCCCTTCTTTGAATGGCTTTTGCCAGTGTGAAAACCTATCACTAAAATGACTGAGATAGGATACCTACAGACTCCACAAGTTGGAGACCAAGGTACAGTGAGATGCTGTGTATAGCCTCCATTTAAATGAATAGTATTCATTTCAACAAACAGTGGCAGATGCTAAGAGAGACAGTAAAGCATAATGGTTAAGAGTAGACTCCAAGCTAGGTACAGTGGCACATTCCTGTAATCCCAGCAACTTGGAAGTCTGAGACAGGAGGATCACGAGTTCAAAGTCAGCCTCAGCAATTTAGTGAGGCCCTAAGCAACTCAGTGAGATCCTGTCTCTGATTAAAATACAAAAAGGGATGGGGATGTGGCTCAGTGGTTAAGCACCCCTGGGTTTAATCCCTGGTACCAAAAAAAAAGTAGACTGACTCAAAGAGATTGAGGCAAGAGGGTCATAAGTTCAAGGGCAGCTGGGGCAACTTATTGAGACTCTCAAAATTAAGTAAAAAGGGCTCAGGATGTAGCTAAGTGGTAGAGTATTTGCCCAGCATGTGTGAGACCCTGAGTTCAATCTCTAGTATCACAAAAACAAATAAAAGAAAGTAGACTCCATACCAAATTACCTGGGTTCAAGTCCCACCTCTGCCACTTACTAGCTCTGTGACCTTGAACAAGTTATTTAACCCCTTTGTGATTCAATCTACCCATCTGGTGGCATGAAAGCAACAACAGCAATTACGTAGTAGGGTTACCTGAAGACATATAGAATAGTGTCTGGCACATAACAAATATTAAAGTTTATTAAAAAAATTTAAAGCAAGCATAGCTTTGACTAATCACTGACTTAGCTCCCAGTATTATAAAAAAAAATTGATAATAGTGAATATTTATTGAGTGCTGATTATAAGTTTATGATATGAAGCAGAGAGCTAATTCCTACTTGCAATATGAGGCATAGAAGAGAAACTGGTCCTTGTCCAGAGGAGGTAATGAAGGTTTCACAGAAAAGATCATAAAGGGTGTTAAAGACAAATGCAAAAGGAAAAGGAGGACTACTTGGATGGCAGAGGGCTATGATGAATGGCTTAGAGAAAAAAACTACTTGAAGTTTTACATTTACTAAAGTACTAAAACTTTAAAAAGTATTACTCTCCAAAGCTGGGTAAACTGTGGAAAAAAAAATTTCTACATGAAATATCAGAGTCCCAAAGAACTCATTCAACAAGTCTCCATCAAGCTATATGCCTGACATTGTCCTGGGCTCGCTCAATTTTTTTTTTTTCAGTTATTGATGGACCTTTGTTTTATTCACTTTTATGCGGTGCTGAGAATCAAATCCAGTACCTTGCACATGCTAGGCAAGCACTCTGCCACTGAGCCACATCCCTAGTCCTGTCTTAAGACTCTTAAGGACAAAACATGAACAAGATAAATAAGGCGCCTGCTGCCATTGGGGCTTATGCCATTGAGGAAGAAAGGACAACACAGAAACCAAAAAATTCAAGGATTGATAAGTGATAGATACAAAAGAATTGAAATAAAAGAGGGTGATAGAAGAGTGAAGGGGAGGGATGAGGTTGGGGAAGATAATCTCTTACATCGGATGATAAATGCGGGTCTTTTTCATGCGGGTACGTAAGTGGAAACCTGAAGAGTCAGCCTTCCAACAAACCTAGCTCAAGATCGACAGCTTTCCAGACTGGGCAAGGGGGCACACACTTGTGGTCCAGGCTAGTAAGGAAGTCGAGGTAGGTGGATCCTTTGAGCCTAGAAGTTCAAGGCCAGCCTAGGCACAGTGAAATATATAGCTAGCTAGACAGACAGACATAGATGCAAATATATACATACATATGAAATTTCTAAATAAACAGAACCTCTTAGGCAGAGGCAACAGTCGAACACAGTTCATCCCAGGAAAACGCAGAAGTTAGCCTGTTTTCCTCTCTTTCAAATAATCTTGCCTCCTCCATCCAATGACATTTCTATTTTATCCAAGCGTTGTTTTATACAAATTCCTGCTGTCAGGCCTACTTTACAAGGCTAGATACCTCTATGCTCAGGAGGTCAGAAAACCCAAAGCTGCCCAGGATTCCTGGGCTGCAGTTCCCATTTCTTCCACCAGGGGACACCCTTGCAACCATGTCTGAAGCCCTTGCTTCATTTTTCTGCTCTTGCCAGAGAAAATTAAGACCCTGGATGTTTGGGGGAGAGAAGAGCAGTACTGTGATTATCCCCATTTTCAAAATGAAACCGAGGCTGAGAAGTTAAGAAATTACCTGACACCTCATACTAGTCAACAGCTAGTTGTACTAACTGGAGCCACAACTGGGCCTTGAAGGCAACCAGAATATCACCCCAAAATATGCTTCTTTGACATGAATACTGAGCCAAAGGCACTTAAGAGGAAACAAAATTGGTCTTTCTGAACTGCCCTTCCTTACCCACAGCCAGTCATAAAAATTCCTGGGAGAAGGCTGACCTGGACCTGCAAGATAGCCCTTGTCAGCAGGGACTGGGAACTGATGTTGCAAGGATCTTTATAAAAATAAGTTCATTGCCTTTTGGTAAGCTGAGACAGGAGAATTGCAAGTTCAAAGCCAGCCTCAGGAATTTAGCAAGGCCTAAGCTACATAGCAAGATCCTGTCTCAAAAAWAAAAAAGGGTTAAACTTAAGAGCATTGCCACTGGATTATAAATCCAGATTTTGCCATCTTTTAGCTGGGTGGCCGTAAGCAAATGGCTCAACTCTCTGAGCATCAGTTTTTTCTATTGTCACATGAAGGATACCACTGCTGGTGAGCCTACGCCTTCAAAATTTTGTGATGATGAACAAAACAGTAACATTGCTGCAGAGCAGTACAAGAGATGATAGTTTGTGTGCTTCTGGACAGACAAAACAAGAGTCTAAATGCACAGAATAGCCATAAAATGACAATAGAAACAAGAGAAGAAATGCCAAGTCATTAAAGGATGGGAAGGCACCCCCCCTTTAAGTCTATAGTAGGAACTTCTTTTCAAATTATAAAAGCAAGATGCTTTTCAAAGAACCCTCACCTACCACCAGCGTAAGTAATGGCGCAACTAGGCTCTGTTTGGGGGCTTGTGTTGTAAGCAGGGAACAAGGGTTGCCCTGGATTCCTTTCTCTAGCTCGTCCAAATCTGGGCAGTGAAAGTTGAGACAAGCATGATTAGACTTGCCGAGGGTGGTGGCCTGAAAAAATGAAAATGGTTTTGCAAATAACTTGACGCAAGGCACTTAAGCTGCTGGGGCATCTCATCTTAATGGTGGCTAAGCCTCACCCTTTGAGAAGTGACAGAGTAAGTGTGACAGGGAGCCCCAACCTGAATTTCCAAGCATTCATTAAGACTCATTATCTTTCTGTAAAACCGGATCCTCTGGGCTGACAAATTGCAAATTACAGGAAAGACAGGGGCTCTCCAGCTCCAGAAGGCCCTGGGAAGCTCCCCTCGACCCTGGCCAAGGCTGGGTGTGCTCAGCCTCTGTGCATTCCCAGCAGTAACATGTGGGTGGCGAGGGCAAAATGGGAAGCCAAAGCATCAGCACATGGGGACTGAGTATATTTGAACATTTCTGTAATTAAAAAATGAACAAAAAGCGAGACAGCAGGAAATGAAAGAGTCTTTAACCCGGTCTGAAGGCCTTTCCTCAACCTGTTATTTGGTCACATGGACTAGAAACCAAATCTGAGACTCCATTGGCCATATCTAAATGGGAAATTCTTTCTGCCACAAAAACATCACCACACCACCACAATCATCATCAAAAACTACCCACTCAGTCAATAGCTTCAACTGTTGCATTAAGATTTAAACTGTGTAAACATTAACTAACACACCCTGCTCTATTTTAAGCACTTTGCAAATATTAGCTTATTTAATATTGGAATTCTATGAAGTCAGTATTTGTGTCCTCTTCTTACAAATGGAGAAACAGGTGGCTGACAAGTGGCAAAGCTGGGATTTGAACCTCAGCAGTCTAGAATCCATGCTCCCTAGGTGTCAGTCCTTGCCCTGAGCTCTTTGTGTCTAATTTTTTGACTTATTCCTCATGGCATCATCAATACTATTTTCTTTTTCCTAAAATCATACAATGGTGAATGCAGGGGCTGAGCTGGTTCACCCCAAAGTGAGTGAGGGCTTTTCCCGCTGTTCCTCCTGCAAAATGGAGGTGTACTTTTCAGCAGTAATTAAAAAGGAGGACTTATAACTGGGCACGAGGCGCACTCCTATAATCCTAGAGACTCAGGAGTCTGAGGCAGGAAGATGGCAAAGTTCTGGGCCAGCCTTGGAAACTTAGCAAGACCCTGTCTTAAAATCAAATAAAAATGGGTGGGGGCGTACCTCAGTGGTAGAGAGGCCCTGGTTTTAATCCCCAGTACAAAGAAAACAAAAAGAGCAAAAGAGGGGGAAAAAAGGAAAAGATGGTCCAGAATAGTATGAAATTATACACCAGAAAGTTAAACTAGTAAGAATAGCCAGGCCCACATGCCTGTAATCCCAGACACTCAGGAGCTAAGGCCAGAGGATCCCAAATTCAACTTAATGAGGCCCTAAGCAACTTAGCAAGATTGGAAAAAAATTAAATAAAAAGGGCTGGAAGGGGCTGGGGATGTGGCTCAAGCGGTAGCGCGCTCGCCTGGCATGCGTGCGGCCCAGGTTCGATCCTCAGCACCACATACAAACAAAGATGTTGTGTC